CTCTTAATCTGAGCAATTTATATTTTTGTAAATTTTCATCAATTTCAATCAGCTTGCCAGATTTATTGCTATGTAATTGGGCAAAATATTTCCTAATGATTGATTTAATTTCTTCATCATTGGTGGTGATTTTACTCTTTTCATTTTTGATACTGGATTTTTGCTTTTCTTTTTTCTTAATCAAATTAACCAATGGCTTATATATCTTACTGTTTTTTTCATAAAACCAGATCCTAGTTTCATTTATTACCTCAATATTTTTCTTACTTTCAATTTGGTTAATCTCACCTTTGGTTTTCAGGATTTCTAACTTGGTGTTCAATTGGGGATTTTTAATGTTTTTTTTTCTAGTTTTTTGGGGTTTTTTAGTTGCATGCCCAAATCATTTATGTGCTCTTTTCTCTATTTTGTTGATGTAGGAATTTAAGAGAAATAAATTTTCCCTTAAGTACTGCTTTAGCTGTATCATATACATTTTAGTATGTTTTCTCATTGTTGCCATTCCCCCTTTTTCTTTCTTGAGGCATTTGTAATAATATAGAGATTTGTGAGATTTATCATATCTTTATTTAGATTTTCTATACATAAAGTGCTAAATTGTTGAGACTTGCTATCATCTTGCTTTATTCCATTTTCAATAATGTCAACATATTTCATTACTGTGTTAATTCCATTTACTGTGCCTACAATCTAAGACAGTTCCGGTTCTGCTTCTGAAGGCATTTTCTATGTGTTTATGCAGTCATTCAGATGATTTATTTTTATCCATGGTATTTGTTTATCTTTAAAGCATTTTTTTCTGCTTTATTGTTTCTATGTTTGATTTTCTGTAAAGCAATAGTCATTTGCAGATTTCATTTGTGTAGTTTGTTTATACTTTTCCACCGCTTTTATTTTTTGCTAGTGTTTAAGGGGACATTAGGGGATGAGGTGCTTTATGATTTCTTATTCCATTCCATGTGATTTCTTATTCCATTCTTATTCTCTTTAGATTTCTTATTCTCATTATCTTACTGAAAGTTGATCTATATACTTTTTCTTTAAAAGTTTATAGAACCATATATTTGGAGCTGGAAGAGACCTTAGAAGCTACCTACTCCAAGTGAATGTCCTCATTCTATTGTATTTTATTTTATTTTATTTTATTTTATTTTATTTTATTTTATTTTATTTTATTTTATTTTATCTCTATTTCTTTTTTTATTAATTTCTTTTGATTTATCAACAATCACTTCCGTATGCTTTTGAATTTAAAATTTTTCTCCCCCTCCCCCCCAAGACAGTGAACAATCTAATATAGGCTATGCATTTACATTCCTATTAAATATATTTTCACATTAGTGAATTTGTAAGTAAAAATTAAAACCAATAGGAGGAACCATCAGAAAGAAGAAACAAAACTCAACAGAAGAGAAAAAAAGAAAAGATAGTGATTCAACTTTCACAGTTATGATTACTATCTGTGTCTTTTTCTCCATCCTTTTTTCCCTGTTTATGCTTTTCTTTCTCCTTTCTCCTTTTCCCTCCTCACTAGTGTTTTGCTTTTGACCACCACCTCCTTCAGTCTCTCCTCCCTTCTATTATCCCTTTCCCTTTTCTTCCCCTTTGCCCTTACTGCTTCTTCCCTCCCTTCTATCCCCTCTCTCTTTTCCTTCCCCCCTTCCCTCCCACTGCCCAACTGACTGTGTTATCCCCTTCTTGAGCCAAACATGATGAGAGCAAGGTTCAAACAATGCTCACCCCCCTCCCTTCTTTCCCTCTGCTGCATAGGATTTTCTGTCTTTTCCTGTAATGTAATTTATCCTTGTCTGCCTCCTCCTTTCTCAGTACATTTTCTAAGATCAGACTAATCCACTACTTGGATCCATTTAACCCACTTGATTAGATTTTTTTTTATCATTACATCAAAGTCAACTCATATCCACCCCCTTTATGTATACTCCTTTAACATGGTGTAATAACAATACAGTCCTCAAGAGTTGCAAGTGTCATCTTTCCTTCTAGGGATGTAATACCCTCATTTTAAAGTTGAGGACCTCTGAACCAAAGAGTGGCTTGGCCAGGGTAACACAAGTGCTAAGCAGTAGAGTGAGGATTTGAACACAAGTTTTCCTCATCCAAATTCAGTATTCCTTGCACAGTGTCACTCTGCTTTGAGGCAGGAATGCTCTCCACCCTCCTCTTAACTGGTTGAATTTATAACCTTCCTTTTCAAACAAAACTGAAATGTCATTAATCAACAATGAAAATTTCAATGCTCTTCCTTATTTGTATGAGTTTTTCCCACAGATTTCCTGTAGCCTTTGTTTTCTGTGTGTATAATATAGTTATTATGAATATGTATTTTCTTTCTCATTTATTAACTACTAGATTATAAGCTCCATGGAGACGGTGACCATGTCTAACCTAAAATTTTATTTCCTTGAGCTGTAAGCTCAGTGCTCTACACCCACACAGTGGGTTCTTAATAAATGCTCATTAAATTCAACTATAATTTGTGCTTTCTCTACAGAGAAGGATGTTGGTGAGAATTTAAAAATTAAAGAAAGGATGTTAGACCATTTGAGATAAGAGATGAAGAGAGAGAAGAAATGGCAGAGCTGATAACCATATGTAAGTGAGATTAAAGAAAAAGCAAATGCATAGCTTCGAAAGTTTAAAGACATGCATAGCACGATGCATGGCACATAGTAGACACTTAATAAGTGCTTTTTGACTGCTGCATGTATAGTTCTTGACACAAAATTGTGAATTCAGTTTCATATGTTGATTAGATGACTGAAATATGGTTATGGCCAGATAAATCTTATTCAAAATGAACACATTAGATTTAAATGGAGTATGTATTAAGCCTTATCTATTAAAAACATATACTTTTGTGAGGAAATCTGTGAGGCAGATAGGGGAAGCATAGAAGAGAAGCATTTGAGTCATCATTAATGGAGGAAGAAATGGGTATGATCTTGTAATGGGAATATTGTTAAACCACCTGAATAGGAATTTGGAAATGTAAGATGAGTTTAGGAAGAAGATCAGACATCTTCCACAGAACTTTCAGTCCAACAGTGATGAGGGACTTCCAGTTGAACTCCATCAATTGAAAGTCCATCTCTGCCCCAAATAGACCAACTTATTGATTCTTGATTTATGTTAATAAAAAGTTCATTCTTCAAAAGATGGAGAAAATGAAGTGAAGCATTGTCACTTCATACACGATTCTATTTGTAAGGAAAAGTAAGTGAAATCTTGAGGAATCCTGAGATGAAGTAAGTAACTATTACATCTTAAAGTTTGTGATAGGTAAGAAATTAGCTAAGCATAGCCATGCAAACACCTTTGATTATGGAAAAAGAAACAGATTTCAAAGAGTTTATAGAAAGGCATTGTTGCCTGTTTTACATAGAGGGTAAAGGGCCAAATCTCCTATTCCTAATAAGGTTGGAATCTCTAGTCTAACATGAATTCCATTCAGTCAAGCTTAGGTGGAGATAAATCCTTTTGTCTAGATTACCCAAGGCTGGGTGTGGTCTGGGTATAGGGATAATCTCTGTCCAAGAGTGACATGATCACTCCCATCTCCTCATTTAAGTGAGCTCATTTCTCTTTGCAAAACCCTCCTCTCATTAATTGTTAACCAATCAGAGTTGATTGCCACCTGGGGGGGAATCCCTCCTCCAATGTGCATATAAGCTGTGAGCCCACTCCTATGATTTGTCTTTGATGTAAGAGACAATCAAATGACCATCCTTTTATTAAAATGCTGGTATTATTAATAAAATGATTAAATTAGTGAGAAATATCTCTCAAATATTTTAAATGTCACAGACCTGAAACTCATAACTCCTCAGTACTCCCTGGTCCTGGCATCCTTCCTTCCCTCTGATTGGAGAGAATAGAAGGTAAACAGTAGAGAGCTCCTCCAGATCCTTTATTTAAGAAGGATGTTCAGGACAACCATCTCATCATTTCCCACCCAACTGTGCTCCTTCAGGACTGTCATTTTCCCCTTCTGGGTACCTTCTCTCTTACTTTTCATCTTTTTTTTTTATATATACTGTCTTCCCTCTTTAAACTGTATCCTCCTTGAGGACAGAGGCTATCTTTTATTGTTCTTTGTATCCTTGGTACTTGGCACAGTGCCCAGCACATAGTAAACATGGATCATTCCCCCCCCCCCTTAATTGTCTCTGGTATGGTCTTTTTAGTAGACTTACTGTTCGAGTTGAAAGGGATCCATGATGATCTAGTCAAAGAACTCCCTTTTGCAGATGAGGAAATTGAGGTGTAGAAAGATGAAGTGATTTTCTTCAAATGAGTAATGTTTTAATTTTTATTAAAGGAATAAGTTTACTGAAAAGACCTTGATGCATCTATGGATTTTATCTTACAGTCAGGAAGTAGGTGTTGATTAGTTTCCCACAGAGAATAGTAGAATCATATTGAGAATAAGTATTTTTAAGGACATTGTTTTTGTCATTAAGAAATTTGCAGTCTCATTATTTTGGCAAATTCAAGAATGAACTGGCTTTATCTGTAAGAAGGGGTGTGTTTGTTTGGTTTTTTACCCCTATTAAATTTTAGCTCATTCTATTTGGTCCCATGTTCTAGCCTGTTGAGATCTTTTTGAATCTTGACTCTCATTCAGAGTGTTAACTATCACTCCTAGTATCATTTCTTTGATGACATGAAACTTACTGTAATACTGAATTACTAAATTACTGAAATAACTGAAATATGACTTTGGAAGGGTTTATTGTATTCGGGGGGAAAGGCAATTTTGTGATCATTTCATTTATGCAATGGAAGAAGTTTTACAAGAAGTGAGTCTTGAGTACTGTCCCATTGATGCCACAATAGGGACTCCTAAGAACCAAGTCTGGCTACCATGCCCACTTTGTGTTGCTACCAATGTTAAAAGAAGAAAATGAAATAGAGGGATATTGAGGAAAATCCCAGAGTTATAAAATAAAAGTATAACAGGAAGAAAATAGCTTTAAAACTTAAACCCCTGTGGTGTTTACCACTTGGTGCAAAACTTTTCTCAGGGCTGATTTAACATCCTTGTTCCGCAAGCTATATATTAAAGAGTTCAGGGAAGGGGTGATGATATTATTCAGTACCTGGATCACAGAGCCAAGCCAGGGTGTAGAAGCAGGTCCAAGATAAATAAGGATTACAGGCCCATAGAATAAGAGGATGGAGGTCAGCTGGGCACTGCAGGTTGAGAAGGCTCGCCGCCTACTCTCTGATGAGTGTATTTTCAATATGGAGAGCACTATGCGAATGTAGGAAATAAAAATGAATAAGAAACATATAAGAGGCATAAGGCCAACGTTGGTAAAACTCACCATATGGGCTAGAGAGGTGTCTGCACAAGCCAGGGGCAACACTATAGGGATATCACAGAAAAAATAGTTTACCTCATTGAGACCACAGTAGGGTAATCTGAAAGTGATAAATGTAAGGATAGTTGAATGAAGACAGCCCCCCCATCCAGGTGCCCATGGTTAGGATAACACACACCTTATGGTTCACAATGATTTTATACCTCAGAGGGTGGCAGATAGCTACAAAGTGATCATATGCCATCACGGTATAGAGGAAACACTCAGTCCCTCCCAAGCAATGATAGAAGAATATCTGGGATGCACAGCCCTGAAAAGAGATGGCATGGCTATTTCCCATGAGGTAGAACAACATGTTAGGAGAACTTACTGAAGGAAAAAATATGTCAAACACAGATAGATTTGCCAAGAAGAAATACATGGGTGTGTGAAACTGGGAAGAAGAAATGATGGCTGTGAGGATGAGTAGGTTCCCCAGCAGGGTGAAGAGGTAGAATGTCAGAAACAGGATAAAGAGCTCAGCCTCCAGCCCCTCAGTGTGGGGTATGCCCAAAAGAATGAACTCAGCTACTACGGATAGATTCCTCATCTCCATGAAGGTGTCTCCTCAGACAATAAGAATAATTACTTGGAATACCACAAATGACAGCTCAGTGTGAAAGGCTTTCACCCAAATCAGTTTTTTATGAGAATCAGTTAGAGATGGATGACCTAGAGCAAAGATCCAGTGAAAAAAGAGAAAGTTAGGATGGCTATGTTTTAATATGTTTTATGCTTTAATAATTTCAAAAGTTTAAAGCCCACCAACTTACAAAGATATCACTTGAAAGTTTATTTTAATTTATTTGGTTTTGTTAACTTTCTATATTAAATTTTTTTTATTTGATTTTTAACAAGACAGGGGACCTTGTTATTGTGAATTGCTTGTGAGACAATTTCTGGATGACACCTTCTCAGCCTGGTGGATTGGTAGAGGGGGTCTTTTTGTTTCACCACCTCATTTACCTGATGTATCTCCATTAGACTTTTCCTTGTGACATCATGACAAAACTATTGTATATACATCTACATGTAATTCTTTAGATGATCTTAAGGCTAGGAATATGAATGCAATTCTTTCAGCCACTAAGTGGCAGCTAATAAAATTCTTTACAAATGCAAAAATTGACTAGAATAATATATGGCACAAAATGATAGTTATGTTGAATTTTAATAAAAACTTATGAATAGTCTAAGATTTTAGATAATTTACCTTTCAAATATTGATGGGGGGTTTTTGTAAGTTTGTAGCAGGTATACTCCTGAAGTTATTAAACCTTAAAACTTCACCAAGACTTTTAAGACGCCCTGTATATTCATAGGATTTTGGTGGTAGATTTATCCCTACCTTAATGCCCCTACCTCATATATACCTGCTACAGTGATATAAGTCTCACATTTACTGGTTGTGTGACCCTGACTAGGTCATTGCTCTTTTGGGGGCCTCAATGTCCTCATTTATAAAATAAGGATAATAATAGTTACACTACTTACCTCATGATGTTTTTCAACTCAACAAAATTAGATTCATTTTTGTGAGGAAATTGGTTTGTAAACCTTAAAGCCCAATATTAATATGTCATAGATTAAAAATTTAAGATCATTCAGTCCACCTGCCTCATTGTGTGGAGCCAGGTATGTGCTAAAGATTATACTACAAAGAAGCTCATTTTTTGTGTGTTTTTTTTTTGGCTGGGCAATGGGGTTAAGTGACTTGCCCAGGGACACACAGCTAGTGTTATGTGTCTGAGGTCAGATTTGAACTCAGATCCTCCTGAATCCAGAGCCAGTGCTCTATCCACTGCATCCACCTAGCTGCCCCTACTCGTTGTTAAATTGTCAGTGCGAGCATTTACACCTTGGAAACCAAAGATGTTACAAATCAGGGCTTCTTTTCTTGCTTTGTTGATTGTCTCTAGACTAAAGAATTAAATTTAAAAGTTCCATGTTTTGGACAGTCAGTTGCTAAGCATCTACCAACATAGCCCAGGTTGAGACCCACATTTAATATGTGAGGTTCCATATAGTGTAAGGGAAAGCAGAACAAACTTGGATGCAGAGAGGAGGTGGCTTATTTAGGGTCACAGAGTCAGCATTTGAACTTACTGTCAGATTCCACATCTAATATATTTTCCACTGTAACACACTATTTCTTAGAAATAAATGTTAGTTTATTATTATTCCTAATAGAGAATTAGATGGAACTATAGGAAATAAGGGAAAGTATTAAAAAAAAACCAATTAGGGACTAACACTAGTTGGTTCTTAAGTTCCCTTCAAAACCTAATATTCTATATTTTAAGTAAATCACACTCAATTTTGTCATATTCATCTACCACATGGTGATTTCACTCCCCAAACCTATCATATTCTTGGTCTTTTCCCTTTTCTGACCAAGTGTGCTCAAAGAGATAAAGTCATTTTTATGGTGACCAGATGGAAGAAAAAAACATAACCAATACTCCCACCCCACAAAAATAGCATAACATATTTGGGAGTCAAATAGAAATGTGCTGATATTACCTGTTGGTCTGCATTATCCTCAATACTGCTCTGTTTCATCAGCAGGGGTAACTGAGAGTTGACTCTCCTTTTTCACCTGACAATTGATTTTAAAAAAGAATTTTAAACCTAGGAAAGCACTAATATACTACATAGATAGTAGATATACCATCCTATTGTGTTGTGTGCCTATTTTCCCACTGCAGGTTTTAGTGGTGGTTGTTTTTACCCAATAAATATTTTATTGATAAATCAATGAGACTTCCTTGCTTTGCTAAGGCCCTCATTTGCTTTCTTGTAGTGGGTGGGAGTCACAGAGGAGATAAAGAAAGAATGAATGAAAGTAGGGAGGAAAGGTAATGAAGGGAGAGGAGAGGAAGGAGAGAGAGAGAGACTGTGAGCAGGCAAAAGAGCAGATACTTACATGACTGAGCATAGTCAGGGATATACTCGGGTTGCAAGACACAGACTCAACTGTGCTTCTCTACCTTGCTGTAATTCCCTCCCAGACTCCAGGAGCCTCAGTATTCTCTTCATATCTAAGAGCTTAAATAGCCTTGATGTCCCGTTGGAGCCAATTCTTTGTTATACCTCTGACTCTTCAGAGGGTCTGATGAGCAGAGGGAGCAGCAATTAGCCTAGAGTTCATTCCTTTTTCTCTTGGCACAGTTCTAATGAAATGGAGAGGTGGGGTATTTTATCTAATGTCATTTCCTCAACACCTATGTGGAAGAGGGCTGGAGGGCAGTGAATTCTGGGGAAACATTCTCCTAAGACAAAGTAACCTCAGAGGCCAAAGAAATAGAGCTATGGGTGATATAGTTAATAGAGTGCTGGACCTAGAGTCAGTAAGACTTGAGTTCAAAACTGTCTTCAGACACTTACTATATGTGTGACCCTGGACAAGTCACTTTGTTTGCCTCACTTTCCTCAACTGCAAAATGCGTTGGAGAAGGAAATGGCAAGCCACTCCAGCATCTTTGCCAAGAAAACCCTAAATGGGGTCACAAAGAGTCAGACACAACTGGAATGACAGAATAACAACAACAAATAGAGACTCTCAGGCTGTATTTTATTCTCCTCCTTACTGGCAACATGTTGATGAGCATAATTGATTCTATCTTCAAGGAGGCCTCCACTATATTAGAGATTTACATTTACTACCAACATATGACATTCCAATAAGACTAATCGGGGACAAATGCATTTTTTACATAGGAACGAATCTGACCTTTGGCAATTCTTTGACTTCAAGCATTGCATACTTGTTCATTTCCATTCTAATGCATAATGCTGTTGATTGACGTGTATTCTAAGTGGGTGTAAAAAGCTATAAAAATCCAAGGTCTATTCTAAGAAGCCTCACCACTAGCCCAAGAGATCCTCCTTAATGGACTAACACACTTATTTTTCTTTCAATCTGACTATTTACTTTTTGACTCCCAGTCTTGTTGATGGACAAGATTATCCCTGGATTCTCAAGGAATCCAGAATAGGAAACTCTCACAACACCTTTATCCTATAAAAATGGTTTGGATTATTTTACCCATAATATTTTACTCATATTTGCTTATCTATGAAGCCAATTAGACTTTCATATGCTCACATAAATGAATTTTTTTTAAATTAGGCAATGGGGTTAAATCATTCGCTCAGGGTCACACAGCTAGTTAGTGTTATGTGTCTGAGGCCAGATTTGAACTCAGGTCCTCCTGAATCCAGCACCGTCCTCTGTGCCACCTAGCTGCCCCGTAAATTTATCTTTTAAACCTTTGAATTTTGCGTGTCCTCAACACATGGGTGTTGAGGAAATGACATTAGATAAAATACCCCACCTCTCCATTTCATTAGAACTCAGAATCACCTGACAAATTCGCTATTTCACTCTGCAGTCTGCAATTCCAGATATTTCTATTAAAAATATAACAGCACAATTTCAGTGTCTGAGACTCCCATGCCACAAAGGTCCATGGTACTCTGTGGATAATATTGTCTCTTCTCTTGGCTTGTATTCCATGAAACCAGAAGCCTAGGGAAATCTCTGCATAGTATCTCTCTCTACACTGACATCAACACTTTATTCACTAGCGTAGGAAGAAATTTTGTGTGGAGGCTGCCATACTGTCAAGTCAATGAGTCAATAAACATTTATTAATATTTATTGTGTCAGGCACTCTGTAAAGTGCTTAGGATACAAAAGGGGGAAAATAAAGTAATTACCCTTAAAGAGCTCACAATATAACAAGGGAGAAAATAAGCAAATAAGTACAAACAAGCCACATACAAAACAAATAGTATATAATTAAAAGAAGAAAGACACTAGAATTAATAGAGACTGGAAAAGGCTTCCTGAAGAAGACAGAATTTTATTTGGAACTTAAATGAAGCCAGTAGGCAGAGATGAGGGAGAAGAGCATTCCAGGCACAGGGCATAGCTAGAGAAAAAGCCTGGAGCTGAAAGATGGAGTATCTTGCTTGTGGAAAAACGAGAGGTCGATGTCACTGAAGCTCCTAAGTAATGAACTTGCTTTGCTCATAATTTGAAAGTTTATGTATAATATAGAAATGATTTCTAATGATTGGTCTTTACACCAGAATGAATTTAAATTTTAGAAGGAAAGAAAAACAAATGATAGGTGTTTTTGTTTTGTTTGTTTTGGTGAGGCAATCAGGGTTAAGTGACTTGCCCAGGGTCACACAGCTAGTAAACGTCAAGTGTCTGAGGCCAGATTTGAACTCCAAGGCAAGAGCTTTTATCCACTGTGCCATCTAGTTGCCCCTAAATGAAAAATGTTAAATGAAGCTTCTTACGTATGCAAGTCATGGTAAATTTTCATTGCTTATTGCAACTCCTTAAAAGTAAAAATAATTATATCTCTCCCTCAGCTGTGATGAGTGAAACTTGTTGTTTGAGGTAAAAGCTCTTGGGACTGTACCTGATTTTATTTTGAGTTTGAGCTTAGGTATAGTTGTCTGCATTAAATCAGTATTTGAGAGAAATGCCACAAGCTACTCAGAGGGAATGTGATCCTGAGTTGTTGAAGGTGGAGGTTT